CCCGAGGAGTCCCTGCCAACTCCCCATTCACCGTTTGTTTTGCAGATAGGCAATATATAAATATAATGTAGTTCTATGATAAAAATTTAAAAATTTTCTTCTACTAAGTCAACATTAATGTGTCAACCTTCGATGGGCGATATGTGTTCCAGCGGTACCAGTGATAGTATCTGGCACTTAATTACTAATTAGTTACATGAAATTAAGAAGATGCATCAATAGACCCAGAGGGAGTCCCCAAGGACTCTCTTGAAAATCCCCGAGAACTCCCCAGGGACTTCCTTAAGAATCCCATAGAACTCCTGTGGGAATCTTGAGGAATTCCTCTTGAATCCCTTAAAAATCCTCCATGACTCCACAGAGGATCCTGCCGGGATCCCGTGACAGGACTCCTGCTGACTCCTGTAAGACTTTTTTTCCAGGACTCCTGCGGGAGATTAATCAGGAGTCTCGACTAGGGCTTTAGTCTCAGCCAGGTTCAAATTTCAAAGCAACTAAAGGTCTCAAAATGTTGTACACAAAATGTCATCAAGAAATACGAAGAACGCGGTAGAGATGATGATTTGAAGCGCACCGAACGTCCGAAAAAACTTCTTGGTATGAGGTTCGTCGTTTGAAAAGATTGGTCAAACGGGACTCACGCCTCAGTGCGGTCAATATGGCATTTAAAAGGTGGTAAGAAGTTTTTAGGTTTTCAATGAAATAATTAATTATGATATATATAATATAATTATGATATTCCTAATCAGTTTACGATAAATCAACAAATTTTGTTTTCTGATAAAACAAGTTCTATTTCATAATGCATTCAGTAAAGGATCTAGTGATTTGCAAGGTAACAAATCTGTTTAGAAAACTATAAACATTATTGTTATTTAGTTCACCAAATGAGCAAATATGACAGACATATTGAAAGAATATTAAAAGATGTAGCGTAATAACAAATAAAGCTTAGATATCTTCTAGCTTAATAGACATGATGATTGAGACACAAATGATGACGTAAGATTCTTTTTTTTTATGACAGAAGATGATTAGTAGAGCAAACGTGAGAAGATATTTATCTAATTGTTATTTTTTTCTCTATTAGCTTTAAATATGTCTGACAATCGTAGAAAATCGAAACGTCGAAAACTACACAAAGTTTGCGATCATGGTTTATTTACTCCAATAGAAGTTGACTGGTTCAAGTCGACAATACCCCATGGTTCAAATCGACTTGAACTGCAGAAAAAGTGCTTCAAATATTTGTTTTATTTTTCTCTTTTAATATGCATTAGCAGTACAAAACAACAAGGAAAAAAAGCGATACAACGAAAAAACTTTTTCATTGTTTGTTTCATTGTTTTTTCATTTGTTATATTTTGTTACACTTAATTTCGTTCGACTTCGTAGCCTTGATTCCACTTTTTCATTAAGTGAGAAACTACTACTAAGATTAGAAAGTGCGCTAAATATAAATAAAGATTAACAACGTAAAAATGTGACTCTTTAGACAACACCGGATTGTTTTTTCGTTTGTAGTTAAAACGTTATTTTTTAATCGTTTTAAGCCACAAATGGCTCAACTGGTCTTGCCTCTTCCTCGTCCTCTTGTTGTTCCTTCTTCCTTTCCTCTTCCTCATCTTCGTCTGATCTCGGTGCTAAAAAGCAAAAATAAATGTACTTTATCGTACAGAAATTGAAAACTCAACTTACCTGCTCTCGTCGTCTTTTTCTGATTTTCCTTTTCGTCTTCTTTATCTGCCACCTTTGAATTTGTCACTAAATCTGTCTTCGTTGTTGTTCTTTGTGCTAAAAAGCAAAAAAGCAATTATCTACATATATTAGAGTTTTATTCATAAACAGCTTACCACTTTGATTTTCGTTTGAACGACTTTCATCTGTACCACCTGTTTTCTTTTCATCAGCAAGAATCAACGGATAGCTAAATAAGAAAGGATGATGAGATTTTCTTTCCCTATTTGTGCAGTTTAACGTATTACTTACACAATATTGAAAATATCACTAAATCGAACTTTTGAAATATAAAATTTTGATAATGTCGTTTGAAAACATTGATTTAGTGATGAAAATCGACCATATTCTTCATAATATCCGGCATAATTATCAATAATACATTGATTTCATCTTCCCTTCGCAAAATCAATTTTTTTCCTAAAATAAAATAAAAAAATAAAAGGTCTGTTCATTCTAGGTCACAAAAACAGTAGTATTGACTTCATTCTTCCCATCAGAAACAATAAATTTAAAAAAGTAGTTGGCCGATACCACTGTTGCGGTTGATCAATATTGTTCGTATGAGTTAGTTTCATTCATCATAGTTAAAGGTGAACGTGAAAAGTGTCGGCACTATGTTGCTTATTCAAGATATGGTGCTCAGTGGTATTTAGCAAATGATACATTAATTAAGCCGATAGATTCTTTAGAAGTTTTCAACAAAAAACAGTCAGTTGTACTCCAGTTATATGAACGGAAAGTGTGCCAAGATGTTTTTCGTCGAATTATTCGTTATATTCTTACTGACTTTAATTTGAAGGAAGAACAACGACGTGCAACATTACATCAAATAGTACTTCATTGGCCTGTTTGTTGTTGTTTTGACGATGATATTAATCAAATTATATCTGAAGGTGACGATTTCGATACCTACAAAAAATCAATAACTTGGACATTTGCATTATCGTTTAAATGTGAAAAATGTAATCGAATTGGATGTCAACAAATGAGAAATTTTAACTTAACCGTTAATTGTGAGACGGTCATGATGGATGTAAAATCACATGTTAATATTGATGATAATATTATTGAGAATAAAGTAAGAACTCATTGCCCTAGCTTTCATAAAATAAGTTCGTTTTTTAACTTTCTAGATAATACCATCAGTGAGATGTCTGATTTGTGAAAAAGCAGCTGCAACATCACTTCAAAATTTATTTATTCATTCGTGTGATAAACCAAAATATTTGTTTGTTAAATTTACTCATTCCATTGATATTAATAAATATGATACTATAGATGTTGTTTGTACAAAAACATCATATTCATAAAGATGACTTGTTAAATTTGCTAATGATTGACACAAATATGAATGATATATTATTAAATTCTCATTTGTTCATTACATCAAAAAGAGCAGATAAAATATTGTTGTTTGACTCACTCTTAACAAAGTAACTATTACAAAAAGAATTCTTTTCTACATCGCCTATTAAAGCTGATTGGTTTCAATATCAGAAAGTTTTAGTTCCTGTACACAGAGAACCCAATCATTGGATTTTGTTCGTTGTTGATATAGTTGAAAAAGCCATTTTACATCTCGACTCAGCCGGTAATGATAATGATGATATAATTCAAGTATTAATGAAATATATAGCTCTCCAACATTTTTTCTTCACAAATAAACCGATTCAATTTGATGAATGGCGTTATGATGAGTTAGGTGGAAATCAAGATGATCAACATAGCTGTGGAGTTCATGTCGCGATAGCTGCTCGAGAGATTTTCACTAATACAAAATATCCGCCAATTACAAAAGACAATGTTAAGTATTTTCGACAAATAATTGCACT